TATGTGCTGCCTGGAGCCACTGCGCCCGGCGTGGCAGTTCTGCTTAGGTGCAGGAGCTGGAGACAACTTGTCAAATATCTATGATGAAAGGATTTATGGAAAAAGCCAGTCTATGACTCTGTGTTTCCTCAACAGACCTCATCCAAAGTATGTGAAAGTGTTTCCTGGCCCTGGCTTAGCCCAGCAGGCAGGCAGTGGCCAAGATGGGAGCTGGGAGCAGAGATACAGGCAGGTTTTTGGAGGGCATGGGATGGACTCCAGGACGAAGGGCCCCAGCACTTGGATCTAGCTGGAGGCCAGCCCTCCTCAGCCCCTCCCCACACCCCTCATTGCTGGGGCTCTCTTGGCGAGCTGTGCTACACCTCCAGCTCTTACTTTGACAACTTCACAGTGACACAAGTGTCCACAGGCACAGGTTTACATTCATCTGAAGAAGAAAGCTAACAGCTGCTCAGCAACTTTCTGCTCTGACCACAGGTCACCTCATTGGTCGTTAGGCTTCCTGTTTCACCTGGACACCACACACCAGTACCAGGATCCTGAGGGCAACAACAGGCCTTAATGGTCCTGACCAGCCCCACCTGCAGCCTCTATTCACACCCATACACAGGGTATGTAGGCTTCACTTCAGCTCAGCCTAGGGCCCTCAGCTCTCTCTGGAGCTCCAGTGTGGGTATGTTGGTCTCCAGGTGAGCTGTAACCAGGCCTGGCTGTGGACCTGCTGATCCTGACTTCCCAATGTGGCTTCAGCAGGCTGAACTATGCTGCAGATTGGAAAGGGGTGAGGGATGAAATTGCAAAAACCCTACTTAAGCTAGCAAAGTATTTGCATTTGTGGAGTTTCCAGTTTGGCACTGTCAGTGCTGTATGGGTGGCTTTATGCTGCAGTTCTCTGCAGCCAGGTGCATCCAAAGCTCTAGGCCAGCAGCAGGGCGCTGTAGCTGTGTGCAGCTGGTTCCTGGCTTAGCTCATAAATGCAGCTCCTAAAGTACCCTCTTGAAAGTTGCCTGTATTTGGGAATGGATGTATGAACTTGGCCTGACTGCTCTGAATTCTGGCTTTGGCTTTGTTTCTGCTCTCTGCAGGGATTTAGGCATTTTCTGTCTCTTTTTAGGATACTTCTTAGGGGACTGAGGTTTCTGGAAGAAGCACCACCAGGAATGCTGGGCATGCCCAGCCTGGCTGCCTTGTGCTAACTCCTATTTTGGCTTAGGAGACAATCCCTGAGGTGGTTCATAAGAGTGAAAACACAGGAGTGCTTGGGGTCTAGCAATAAACCGCCTCTAGGGTGCTGTACCACATGCTGCCCTCCTGCCAAAGTTTTGGAAGCTGCAGAGAAGCAATCTGTAGGACCAGGCTTTCTGGATGCTCTCTCCTGACAACAGCTTTCAGGCTCCAGTTGTATTAAAAGGAAGTGCCGTGTCATTGCTTCAGCTGGGGCAGCTTGTACAGCCTCTGCATCCCCTTGCAGACACCATCATCCCAGGACTCTGTCCCTCACCCTGGTGGAGTGAGGGTCCACTGAGAAAATGAGGTAAACAAGCACTGTTTGGAAATACTTGTTTTCAGGAAAGGAGCTGTATGGCTTAGCAAAATGTGTCTGACAATTTTCTGCTTTCATAAATATTCAAAACCAGCAGCACTGGGAGCTGACTAATCTGAAGGCTTTCCCTTGAACAGAGCTTTCCTTTCATCACGTCTTTTTCCAGACATGAATTCTGAGCCATAGCTTCTCCCTAGGATGGGCAGATGTTAACTGGAGTCCTAGCATGGGAAACTGAGGCAGGATGATTCATCAGGAGTTCACCTGGCAAGTCAAGGCAGAGCAGAGAGCTGAAATTGGGAGTTTCCAGCACTAAGCATTATGGTAAGCATTATACATCCCCACTGCACAGCACGTGCAAACCTGTGGTCATCTGTGAGGCTGCAGACCCCACAGCCCACCCAGCAATTGTCAGAGCAGCAAGGACCCTGTCCCATGCTGCCATGGGGGAGGCAGAGAGAAGGGCTGTCTTTATCCATGCTGCCTTGGCTTTCTCAGGAACAAATTGTATCCCTAAGATATCTCCAACTGTTGGAGTTCCAGAGGGCCTTTGATGATAGCGTGATCTTTCCATGTACAGCAAAAGCAAAGAGTGTGGCCAGAGCTCAGCTGTTCCTCTAAGAAAGTCCAATGGATGTGGATCAGTGCGCCCAGGACTGAGAGCAGAGCTGTTGCAGAGGGTGGGAGCTGGTGGGGTACAGGCAATGGCTCTCACTGGGATTTTCCACCTCTGAAAACAGCCAAGCTGTTCTGGAACAAAGCTTCTTTGCCTGCTTCTTAGAAGAATGGCGGGATAAAAGCAGCCTTTTCATTGCTTCCTCCCTGTCAGAGATGCGATGTGCTGAGCCCCATCCTGAGGCACACAAGCAGCCACACAGCCCAGTGCAAGGTGACATCATCTGGCCTTTGGTGCCTCTCTGACAAAAGCACCATTGTGTGACTGTCACTTCCAGGAGCCTCCCGCTGTCCCCAGGTTTAATAGGGAGCTTTCCCACACACAGCTATTCTGCCCTTGTCTTGCCAGCTCCAGTTCATAGAGAGGCTGCGTCCCTCCCTACCTCAATTCATTTACGGGAGAAAACAAATTACCTTTTCTGTCTGCAGTGCTACCCATCTGCAAAGGGGCTGGCAGCTGGAGGGAGAGCTGTGTGGCAGTCAGACTCATCTGCTGGCAGTGATTTGCATGGGTGAACACAACAGCCCTGCAATCCACCTGTACCCTGGTGTGAGGCCCTGGTGCCTGCAATGCGCAAATGTTTCTGTTACTGTGCCATGCTGTCCTTCAGCAGCTGATCGGAGCATCAGCTCTTCCCTGTCTTGAGTGATTAATTGGTTTCAGTAATGAAGTAGTGTCTTAGGACTCTACCCCCAAGGACTCTCATGTACCAAGCACTGAGTGTACGTGAACGTGGCTCTTATCCCAAAGCTGCTGAGCTACTACAGGCCAAAAGTGCTAATTTCATCAGAAGCAGGTCATGTTCACCTGAAATAACCCTTAGAAGTGAAATTGCAATTATACACTGGGACACCTTCAAGTAATTCTATATTTCCCTATAAACAACAATGTTGAGACCCTGGCAAAGAAGGTCTCCTGTTCTCTTACATGCAGTGTTTCATATCCTGGTTGCCCTCTAATCTGGTGCACAGGACAAGAGGAAAGTTAGAGACTGAATTCTGCCCAGGCAAAGGCAGCTGGAGGGGTTGGGCTGAGAGCTGCACTGTGCTACAATGTGAGCTACAATGTGCTACAATGTTGTTAGTGTGCTACAATGGAGAGGAAGCATCCGTGCTCCTGAGGCTCAGTGCAAGGCAGTTGTCACATATGGCAGGCAGAGAACAGAAGGCCTGTGTGCTCCAAGTGATTAGTAAGTCAGCCCCTTGCTCCCAGGAGGGCCAGGTATCCATCCTTTCAGCCTCTGTGACTCTGCATGCTGGGCAGAGATGACACACTGCTTGTGTCTGTCTGACATGTTCTTATCCAAGGGAGGAGGAGGAATCTACTTTACTGTTGAGAAAATCTGGAGAAGCTACATCTGCTTGGCCACCACCCTCTTTTGGCAAATAGTGCAGGGAGGGACCATCTCCTGGCTTCTAACGTGCTATCATGCACTATGCACATTTTAGGTGCTGTCATCCTGCCCTGTGTCTCATGGTTTCTGCTAGCACATTAGTGGAGGATTTAGCATTTTCTTTGCGTATCTGCAGCAGATGTAGGAAGCTGGACTTGGCATCTCTAGCTTTGAGCAAGGAGAATTCAAGCTAGAATGAGGACATGACCTCCATTTGCATTCAGAAAAAGCACTTGATTACAAACTAGACCAGAATGAGAATGTGAGGGATGCTGAGCTGCTTAATGTGCTGCTTGGTGCAGACCAGGTTTCATGCCTCATTTGCTAGGTGCAATCAGGCTTCGTTCTCTTTCACTGCAGAAAGCCCTCTGCTAGCTCAAGCCCCGGGTGCAGATGAACTGTTCCATTTCTCAATGCCAGCTACTTTCACGAACAGCCTTGCCATGTCCTGGTCTGAGAGTCAGGGACTGAAATAATCTGCTTTATTCCCACACAAGGAGCCTTTCCTGTGTGGCTGTTAATACTATCAATCTCCAACAGTTCCACTTGAGGAAACACTTCTCACAGAAAGCCCAGAGCCTCCAAGCACTGCACAAGTCTGCATCTGTGAGCACCAGCAGTGCAGCAGCTCCACCCAGAACAGCCCATTGAGCTTGGAGGCTGCCAGCTGCTGCAGGGCCACAGAGGCCATGCCTGTAGGGTCTGTTTGCAAAGGCAGCGAGCAGTGCTCCCAGCTGAGCAGCCTGCCTCCTTAGCAAAGCCAGCAGGCAGGTCTGCTGCCCAGATATGGGTTGTTAGGGATATTCTGGAGCACGCCATTCCAGTTGACTTGAGAAGGATTTAAAATTGCCAACAGACTGTAGTGAACCTTCTCTGTGGAAGAGAAGATCTCTGATTTCTTAATATGTCCACAAAATTATATTCTTCCATTTGGAAACAAGACTCTTACTAGATGAGAGGAAAAACTCAATGCTAATTGTGTCATTTCCAAAACTCAAGAATATTAAGCTGCTCAAGGACTCTTTTAGCCTCAGGGGAGCTAATGAGGTTAGTGAATCATGATGAGAAACATAGCACTAGTTCAGATAGCTTCTGCTGCACTGGGCAAAGTGGGCAGAGCTCAGGGCAGCACGTGGGAAAGGCTGGACCTGGCAGCATTCCCTGCTCCAGCTTCACCTGCCCTGGGCTTGAACACAGGGAAGCAAGAGAACAGGAGATCAGCATTGCCTCAAGCAAAAACGTGGATAGAATCCAATGTTTCAGGTCTGGAGGTTTAGGACTCATAATCATTAACTGCAGGAAGCTGCAGCAGGACCAAAGCAGCCCACGCTGCCCTGGGGTTTCTGAACCTCAGTGCTTTGTGTTCTGCAGCAGGTACAGGACAGAGCAAATGCCCCGATGCCATGTTTCCTGCTCGCTGCAGGGGAGAGGGCAGGTGTGTTTATAGAGTCTGTCTGATCCCTCAGGAATGGCTGTGTGAAAGCCCTTAAAGGATTTAGCAGTGACAGAAGGCTGGAGGAAGGGGGAAGTGATTCAGGTGTCCTGAAAATAGTCTGGCAATTGCCAGTTAGTCCATATAACCCATCTGGCCATGGAAACATCATTTAGAGAATGTCTTCCTGCTCCCTCATCAAAGTATCCCGCCCCCCAGGGATTCATTTGAGATTTTTATTCTGTAGATTTATCATTCAGTTATTTGGTGAAAACATGAAGTAGCTTGTTACCAGTACTGTGCTCAGCAGCACAGATTCTGTTTGCCTTCAGGATGCATTTAGTATAGAGCTAAAGCAGAATGAAGGAAACAAACACATAACCAATCAAGCTCTTATTAGCAAATCTTATTCTGCTAGGCTTAGTTTTGCTTTGTATGGTGCCCCAGGACAGTGATCCATGCAGTAGAGGGGGCTTTTATGCTAGGCAAGAATCAGGACAGCGTGTACAAAGGAGCATCTATGAATGCACCCATCCTTGTGGCATTAGGTACAGCCATTCTCCCACACAGACACTCAACCTTAGAACCAGAAAGGCTGACAGTGTACACCCCTAAATGCGTGAGCAGAGCCTCCCTGCCCTCCCAGCACCATGGAGGCACTCCATGCTGTACTCAGCCCCAGTCTGTGTGCCCTTGTCCATGCAGCTGTCACTCAGACTAGGGCTCCTCCTCATTAACAAGCTAATCCAATCTGCTTGCTACTCTCTGGTTGCCATCTCAATTACAATTTTTCAGACACCAATAACGAAGCAGCTTTGAGCCAAGGCTGATTGCACTACAGCAGCATGTAATTTGAAAGCCATTACATTTCATCTCTGTAACACTCTAGAAGCAGTAATACAGCTGCTGAAAAAGCAACTTTATTTCAAACCAGATAAGAGCTTTGCAGAGATCTCATATGCTGATATTTGAGCTAGCGAATTCAAAAGCTTTTGTGAAATAACGATAATAGAGCCACTTTATTTCACACTTAAGATACCTGCCTCAATGCTAAGATCTAGCATCAGACAGAGTCTTGTTCTGTTTGGTGCTAACATTTTAATTTAGCTTTTCTCCAACAGCTGATTTTGTTAGCCTTGAACTAAGCACCAACCCGTCATGACTCGTATGCAAAACAACAGGAATGTGCCTTGCTCGTCCCACCCCTCATGGAGGAGCCCCAGGTTTCAGCACTCTCAACAAGGCACTCAGAGGTGACTTGCCTGGAGATGGCACGTTTCACTGACTGATCCCCCCACCCATCTGTTATCAATCCTATCGGTGTGCTCTCTGAGCAGAGATGGGAGCTGAAGCAGCGACAATCACCGGTCCCTGCTGGAAAACCAGGTCATGATGTGAGGCCAGAGAAGGAGCTCTGAGATGTCCTCCATCCCATCAGCACAGTAACATCTAACCCTGTTCAACAGCTCAGCGATGGCAGAAAACAACTAACTGCTGTCCTGTGGCAAGAAGGCCAGAGATGGGGTGGGTTGCAGACAAGCAGGGGCAGGGCTCTCTCCAAAAGGAGTTTGTTCCTCTCCTCTCACAACATGTGGAGCACAGCCAGCTCCCCACCACAGCCATGCAGTGCTGCTTAGGAACAGCGTGTGCTGCCATGGCAAAAAGAGCTCAGCAGGAGCTTCTTCCCTTTGTGCTATGGCAGTGCAAGCAGCAGAAATCAGAATAAGCTCAGGTTAGGCCACGATGTGGCAGACTGAATTCCTCCAGGAAAGCAGCTGCTACATTTTTAAAGCCAGTGCTTCAGCTTATGAAAATTAAACGCTCCATACAGCTAGTAAAGCGGCGTATATACGAGATGTGCTTGAGCCTGTCAAGGTGACCACGGGCTGGAGGCTACACAGAGAGGCTGAGCAAAGCTCCACAGACCCTCATGAAGCTGCTGGGCCTCTGCTGCCCTGCTGGTGGGGCTGCGCAGCCATAAGAGCCCCTGTATTCCCTGGGCCTCCCTCAGAGCCCACTCTATGCTCCAGCCTCTGCTCAAGCTGCACAAAATAGAAGAAAACAAACTAATGAAGCATTAGGGTTAAACTCAGCTGCAATTAATGCTTAATTACCACCCTGAAAACACTTGCTCTACTTTGCCAGGGCCTAGAAAGATAAAACCAATTAGCTTAATCTTGTGTGATAGAAACCTTAAACTGCCTCTGATGACTTCTGGGAAGGAATCCCGGGAGTACCTGGAGGAGCCCTGGAGCTGAGGTAGGTAATGGGCATAGCCCTGTACTGGGTGTACGGGAACCATATGCTGTGCACTACATCATCTGCTTTCTATGCCATCTAAATAGAGCAGGTATCAGGTAGTGGTACAGACAAAGCTGTGTGGGCTGTTGGATAGAGAGACAGAGGTTCATGAAGGTATAGAGAGTAGGCAGAGGACAAAAGCTGCCTGTGGTCTCCTGTAAATCTCTTTCTAAATGAAGTCTCTGGTGTTATTTCTCCAGCTAAGCTTTTGGTGTAGACGTGCAGCCTCTGGTGAGGACTGGCTATAGCCTGATCACATCCTGCCTCTGCTATGGAGAACTGCCAAAGCTCACGCCAGGCTTTGTGCAAAAGTAATGAGAGTAGGTTTGTAAGTGTCACTGGGCGAGGACACCTAAAACCTCTGCTCTCCTCCTCTGAAGGCTATAGGATTCATCTGCTTTGGATGCAGTCCTTGCAAGGTTCTCCAGAGAAGGGAAGGGTGTGCTAGAAAAAGATCTCTTAGACCATACTTTGGTATAGAATATGCTGTCCTTTTTTTTTTTTTTTTTTTTTCAATGGGGAGAAGGAGGAAGAGAAGTGCATGGGCTTAGGGGAAGCCTACCTGAAATACTCCTCCCACCTTTCTGTAAGGCCTGATGCCTGCCTTTACGTTTGTCGATGTCTTGATTGGACCCGTGGTCACAGCATGGCACCACCTTCTACAGGACAGTTCATCAGTGAATATCACTGTGTGATGACAGTATTTACGTAAAGGTTTGTGTGAACTGAGGCGGCCCTGCTCTCCTGACAGCTCTCCTAAAGCACCTACTGCATGGGACTTGGCTACCAACCTAAGCATGGAGCACTTCCCTCAGCCACAGCATTAGCTGTGTCCTTAGCTGGCTTAGGCTGTGCTGCCTGTTTGGAGCAAACCATGAGATGCTTGTGTTTCACACTCTTAAGTGTGTAAGAACTATCACCCATTTTTCCTGCATACTCATATTGTAAATGAAAGGAGGGTGTATGGCATTCTGAGAATTAATGGCCAGTTTGAAGACTGCTGAAATAATTTAAGACATTGGCATTGTTTTCTTTCAGGGCCCAGGGCTGTCATTAGCTGAGCACTTGGATGCTCTTCCAAAGAGGCTGAAAAGAAAAGCCCTCCAGGAACTGCAGCAGAGAATGACTCCCATCCAAAACCAACAGATCCTGGCAAGCAGCTACATAGGTCTATAGCAGGGCAAGCATTCCACCACTGCATGGGAGGACTCTTACATGTGAGCCTGTGCTTCAGCTGCAGCAGAGCCAACCATTTAATTATAATGGGAGAGGCTGCAGGGATTAACCAAGAAAGCTGAGCTGACCGCTGTGAGTTCAGCTTCTACTTTTTTTTTTTTTTGCTCAGCTTTGAACACAGTAACTAAAGAAGAGCACACAGGCAGAGAAATCTGTGCAGCAGCAATCCTGGCTAACTTCTCTTCTGCAATAAGAAGTGAGTCTTCCTAGGGAAACTGAAGGAATTGCGCTCTAAAAGAATACCACTGTCAGGTCTGTCAGACATCTCTACCTCTGGAGTCCCACCACTCAGGGATGAATTAAGCTGAGATGGCTGAAGTAGTCACCCTGCCCTCCACCTCCTGTCTGCTTGGTTCCTCCATTTCTGTAGCAAGAGCAGACAAATGACACCTCTATTTGCTCCCAAACCACTGCAGTTCACAGCCCGGCATGGCTCTCATTGTGAGCTGCCCCATGACGTCCACCCAGCCCTCAGACTGGGAGCTGCAGCAGTGCAGCAGAGGCAGATCTCTGCTCCTTTGATTTACCAGAGTCTGAAGGACTCTTAACTTCCACTCATCTGGATATAAACTGATGTCATGTCATGCTTCAGCTCCTGGCTGATATTTGGCCAGTTGATATGATTTACTGTGTGGGTTGGACTGAACTTTCTCACTAGAATACTGTCATGGCAAAATGCTGAGTCTATGTTTAAGAGCACAAGAGCAGTAAGAAGAATTAGGATGAGGGTGAGACTGGAGTGAGAACCTGGTTCTTGTGCCAAGAACTCAGGCCTTTCAGATGTGTCCTGTGCTAAGATTTATAAATGTTTCCATTGGCATACTAGACACTGGGGTAGGCTTCTCAATTACATTAAGCCTAAGAAATATGGCAGTTAACAGAAGAAACGAGATTCCTGCCTCCTGTTTGTTCATCCTAGTGCTTGGATGGGCCCAGCACCAGTAGCCCGTTCCCTTATGAAATGATTAAAATGAATAAGCAGCTCGATGTCTGGCTGTTTTTGAAGTGTTAATTCCTGCTCAGGTCTCAGACAGGCCTTCCAGACAGCCCTGAAATTTCTAGGCTTTGTAAAATCCTAAGTGCAAATTCCAGAGAAGCTGACTTTCTGCTTTGGAGGTAATTAAGTGGAGTGACTGGGGCACTGCTGGTAGCCTGGTGTCTGTGGACACCTCTCCTGAAGGCTCTTTGGACCGTTCAGATAGCAGCACTTCACTGGTGCTGCTGCAGGCAGATTCCAGCTGGCCTTCTTCAGGCGGTGTTAGTGCTGGGAGCTGGGGAAAGCACGCAGGAGATGTTGCAGTGTTAGCCCTCCACATAAAGCCATTCTTTCCACGGTCTCACAGAGCAAGATTTTGTGTGTGTTTTACAGAGCTCATCCCTACCCTGAGGCCATGCCCAGAAGCATTGTTAGTGAAGCTTTCCTGGCACTGTTGTTCCAATGTTGCCAGTGCTCCAAATCTCCAAACTTCAGTGAGAGCCTTCACCTGGCTAAGGGAGGAACTCGCTCATTTATTTCCCATCTAATAGGCAGCCAGGAGCAAAGCATCCAGGGAGAAGGTGACCCTGCTGAATCATGGAGCTATCTGGACCATCAAGAACTTCATGTTCTTTCCATTAGCTGCCGTTTGAGTTCTGCAGGAAGAAAAGTCTTGTGTTGTAGATAAGTTCCTTAGAGTGCTGAGAAAGCTCAAAGATCTGCAGATGAATCCACTGCAGCAGGAAGCCAGTGCTGGCATCCTGGCTTTGAATGCAGGAGCCCCAGCGGGTGCTGCCAGGCACCGGCCCTGTGTGGCATGGGCCAGCAGCAGCAGGTGTGGATGCTGCTCAGGATGCTGCCCACGAGCCATGAGCACCTGGCTGTGCTGTGCAGGGAGCTGGGCTCTCACAGCCACCACCTGGAACCTGATCTGCCTGTCAGAGCACAGTGTGCTCATTCAAGTGGCAAGCTAATTTCATCACCTCCCCTGTCAGGGCAAGAGGAGGTAGAGATTAATTTGAACTCAAAGGATCATAAAATAACATGGCAGCAGTATGCAACTGATAATCCACGGGAGGAATTGCAAATGTGAAGTTGTCTTGCTCTACATAATGGGGAGCTATGACCAGCAACTTCTCTGCTCCACCTCTTGCATTTGCATTTCCTCCAGTGGGAGCACAGAATGTGATAAGACCAGTCCTGAAGTCTGCAAGAGAATCCCACCTTGGCTCCCTGGCATAATTCATGTGCAGCTGGCAAAAGAGCCCAGCACAAAACCCAGGACAGTAAGGAGCAGCCAAGGAGTGCACTTCTCAAGTACAGCTGCTACTTCTTTCACCCTCTGTCTCATCTCACTCACAGCACAGCTCAGTCAGTGCTAAGTCCCTCTCATTTTTTCCCTGAGGCAAAAACCTTTAATCACAGACTGCAGACCAGCGTGAGAGGCAGGAGAGGAAGGCAGCTGCAGAGCCTGTATTAGTTTACTATTGAGCAACTAGAGCAACCAGCTCTGTCAAAGGCTGGGAAAAACGCAGGGCTGGGACTCCTCATCCTCCTCCCTGCTCCCTTTTGGAGCCTGGGCCGCCCTGTGCCCAGCTGGCTGCCAGCTCTGCCTGCTCCCATGTCACAGGGCACATAGGGCAGCAGAGGAAATGTTGTGCTAGGGCCTGTACTGTGCCTCTTTTCTCTTCTGTTCCAATAGAGAATTCCAATTGAACACTGGAGCGCACAAAGGATGAAAGCTTCAGCAGAACATGCCCTTGCCAATGCTTGGCAGAGCTGTGGCACCCTTGTAGCTCCTGCAGTGCAAACAGTCACTGCCACCTACAATAGGATGGTAGCAAAACACTAGTTTCCACCAATAGCTTCTTCCAGTGTTTCCTCCCAGTTACAACTGGTGCTGCTGAGAGTCCATGGGAAAAAACTCCAGTAAAGACCAGGCCTCTGCATGCAAATGAATGCTACATAAATAACCCCCATCTTCGCTCCTAAGTTGTGTACTCTGTGCACTAGAATTCCCTTCAAAGACCTCCCAGTTCATTCTTTATGCTCTAATTAAGGATCAGTGCCAATTAAGTATCTTCAATAGAGGAGCATCTTCCGCTCAGCAGCCAGGAAGTGTCTGAATGAGATCCTGCTGTACAATGTGCACATGAAAAGGGAAGCCCTCCCTTCTTGGAAAGGGCTTCCAAGATTAAAAATCCAGTATAGAATACAAGATGCCTGCTTTAAAAATATTTTGTGATGAGATTAATTGAGGGCACACATGAATGCAGAGTGGTTTGTGACATGCCTTGTACATGCCTGTATAGCACCCGAGTGTGCTACCGCATTGCCAAGGGGCTGAGCTGCACCCTGTGCCATCCAGGCAACAGCAGGTGTGAAAAGAGAGTGTAACATTGTTTGGAAACTGGTATTATAACAGTGTCTGCTTTTTCTTGCAAGGGTTAAAGATACTAAGAAGCCACTTTTCGGATGAAAACTTAGTGCTGTTTACATCAGTATCTGCACTGCTCCAGTAGTCCACACCTTTGCTTCCTGTTGTTGTTCACCTGCTCTGTAAATAACCAGGCAGCTCAGATTACTGCCACGCTGCTCTGAGTGAGAGCTGTGCTGACGGTCTGAGCAGGCACAGGCAGGGGAATGGCATTTCTGAGCCTGGCTAAAGATGAATGCATCAGTTCCCCAGCCACTTGCAGGCTACGTTTAAAAAGCGCTTTCTAAATGAAAATTAGATGGTTAAACACTGTGGGGGGAAGGGCAGGGAATGGGATAATCCCTTCAAAGCTTTAAATGGAAGATTTGCAGACCTGCCTCAGCTGATGTGAGACACATGAACAACCTCTGATTTAAGATGTATGTAAAACTCCAGCCAGGCAAACAGCAGCACGGCCTTTTGGGGCACCCATGTGAAGTGGTTGTGTGTGCAGCAGATGTAGCCACACTACCAATCACTGCTGAATCTGGTGACCGCTCACGGGCTGCTCTGAAGAATAAAGGAGTAGAGGAGGAAGAAAGCAGACTTGATGAGAAACAGGAACTGCAAAACTGCATTGGAGAATGGGGAAAAAGCAACAAATTATTCTGTAAGCAGCAGAATCCACAGTCTTGCCTAATGGGATTTACATCCATAACATCTGCCAGGCCACTGATGCTTCAGTATATAATAACAAAAAGTATCTAGAACTGGCAGTGAATTGGAGTGCTTTTGTGGAGCAGATTGTGTACAAGTCCATTTTTGTACAAAGACTGGGCAAAACAAGTCTGAGGTTTGAGGAGCAACCCCACACGTGCTCGGCAGAGGCTGGTGTCTGTGTCTGGGCTTTGCTACCAGCGATCCATCTGCAAAGCACCGGGGGCAGGTCTGTCCTGATATGCCTTGGGAGTCCCTAGGGAGGCACCACAGTGCTGACTGCTGAGATCTGAGCTGCACAGAGGAAGGGGGAGGCGGAGGGAAATGCAGAGCAGCGCACTGCAACCATATCACTCCAGTGAGTGTAACCTTTATTCTAGGTGAGGGTCAGTGCTTTTGGACTTACCCGAATCCGTCTCATGGCTGCCACAATCTCCACGCGGCTGCTGGGCCTGGGAACGTCCAAGCTACCAATGTACTGAAAGACAGAAGGTGAGATGTCTGTAAAGTAATGCACGAGTTAATGGTGTAAGCTTCTTCCAAACAAACAGCATCTGTTGTTTGACGAGTCCCTGCTCAGTGAGAGTCTTTTGGCACCAGACTTGGTAGGAATACCTGTTGTGGATAATGTTACCAAAGTCGGGAGTGTCACAGGGCTCCTGAATCTGGGGCTTACCCCACTCAGGTTCTGGGTGTGCCTCTGCCTGTGCTCTGCAGGGCAGTATCTGCTGCTGATCAAGCCACAGTTCTGTGGGTCTGAAAATGGGACCATGCATCCTTTGTCACTCCTCCCCAATCAGTTTTTGAGAAGCTCTGAGCTGCACACACACACGAGCTGTCAGGACACACAATGCAGGCAGCAGCACCCTTGCTCTGGGGCTGAAAGGTGAGACAGGAGGTGGCCATGTGTCTCCAGCACCTTTCTGCTGCCAGCTGCCTGCTCCCTTGTGCTGTGCCAATGTGCTGTGCTGCCACATGGATTGCTAGGGGAGTCCTGCATGCAGGCAGCATCCTGCTGCTGCCCTTCTTCCTCCTGGAGAGGAAGAGCCCTGCAAACATTCAGCGCAGTAACGTACACATGAACAGAGCCCACATTGCTATGGGGCTGCTCTTGGGAGACCACCACTGTTACTGACAGTTCTATTTTCATTTCTCTGCTGTAACATTTGTGGCTTGCAATGGGTTTTCACCTGAAAACTTTTGCATAGCAGAGATGAGATTTTCAGAGATGAGTTCTCCTGGCTCAGTATTTATTGCTCTTTTATCTGCCTTGTAACAAACACCGCAGGCAATCTGAAAGGTCATCCGTTTCTTCTGATGCTTTTGCAAAATAACATTTTTAAGAGCAGCCGCTTCAGCCGTGTCCTTTGGTAAACCACAGGAGATCCAAACCGCAGCAGCCAGAGCTGGAGGGCAGCGGAGAGGGAGAGCAGCCAGAGCCCACTGTGCTGCACCCCCTCGGTCCACGAGCAGCAGCTCTGCACAGCCGCACACCCCGCACCTTCTGCCCACCAGCCGTGTTGCGCTCAGAGCTGCAGCTGCCCGGTGAGCAGCCCTGGCAGAGCAGCACTGAGCGGGCAGTTGCTAAGGCGATGTGCGCCCAGCTCAGCCCTGCACACTCAGAATAGCTCCGGTGCCTGAAGCTGTCAGTCTGGAGGCGCCCGTTTCGCTCAGTTAAAGGCGCAGCCCGCTCACGCTCTAGGAAGCAAAACAAGGATTTTTCTTCTCAGCGTGGTGTATGGCACAGCAAGTGTTAATTTAAATTAAAAGAAGCCAAAGATTGTCTTTCTCTGCTAAGGTAGAGGGGCTTTTAAAGTATGTGATCACCTGTCCAGATCCATCCTATATCCTGTTTAAGCCTTACAGCTCTTTTATCAGGAAAACTAAAATGCACAAAATCCATATTTCAAAGCTTTTATTTGAATATATGTCCCTTCTTCCAGCTCAGCAGACATGGATTCCATTCCTTGTCAGTGTTGGCCACCTGCACAGAGGGGCAGCAAACCCCAGAGCTGCTCCAGCAAATGCAGCTCTTTGTGCCAGGGCTCGGGCGTGCGCTGCCTGCACAGTGCCAGCCCTGCTGAAGTTGCTCACTCGGTGGTGGTGCAACGCCAAAACACCTTGAATGATCGGCGTGAACTTTCTGACAGCGTCCCTATTTCTGAACCCCCACACCGTGCGTGTAAGTGCAGACCTCCCGGCCACGCTTTTCACACAGGGAACAAACAGCTCGGATGCCCGCTGGGTTCTGCCGATGGCACCGGAACCGGGATGGGTCCCTGCCCGGGGGTCTGCCCCGATCGGTTCTCAAAGGAGGCACGCGAGGAAGCGTTAGACACCTTAGAAAAGATTAGCAGGAAGAAAGGAATGACCTGTTTGATTGCGACCTTAGGCGTGAAGCTCTCGCGGTTGCCTGGCGCTTACCCCTAGGCCCGGCGCGCGGCTACAGGCTGGCTGCGCTCGGGCGCTGCGCCGGCGGGGCGTACGGCGAGCCCGGCAGTGGCGGCCGCGGGGCGATCGCCGCGTTCCCGTGGGCAGCGGAGCGGGGCACGCGCGCGGGCTTCGGGGTCGCGGCTCCGGCGGACGGGGCGCCCGCACCGCACGGCGCCCAATCGGGGCCACAGCCGGGATGCCGCGCCGCCGCCCCGGACCAGGGAAGGCGGGGAGCGGGGCCGGGCCGCGGCTCACCTTGGCCTGGAAGTGGATGCCGTGCTGGAAGGCCTCCTCGTTGTGCAGCGGGACGCGCGAGTCGCAGCCATCGTCCACCAGGTTGTACCGGTTCTTCACCGGCATCGCGGCGGCGGCGGGCGGGCGCCTTCAGGCCGCGGCGGTGCGGGACATCTTCGCGGGCATCGCCCGGCCCCGCAGCCCCCGCCCGGCCGGAGCCCCCCAGCGGCCGGGGCGCGGGGCTGGCGCAGCCCGAGCCCGGCCGCGTTTTGAATGAGCGTCCGCGGGAGCAGAGCGGGGCCCCGGCCCTCGCCGCTGCGCCATTGGCCCGAAGTTCCCTCATGTGATGCGGGGGGCGGCCGCCAGCCTCGGCCCCGGCCCGCCCCGCCCCGGGCAGAGCCCCGCCGGGAGCCGCGGCCGGAGGGCTGCGGGGCGCTCCGTGCCTTGCGGGAGCTGCGGAGCTTCGGGACGCGCCCGGCACTCAGCGGCGCCCCGCGGAGACGCGCTGTGTTGGCGCGGCTCTGCCCGCCGGTGCTGCTCTGGCCGGGCCGTGCGCCGCGGGGCGCGCGGGGCTGTGAGCGCGGGGCTGTGCGGGACGCCGAGCCTTGCTGCGGTGCTGGCGCCTCGGCTGAGAGCTGCAGCCCTGCGCTACGAGAGGCGTTGGGGATGGAGTCTCGTCGTGATGCGGGGTTTGCTGGGTTTTGACTGTTCATGTCGTGCTGCATCGTTTCAGCAGCACCCACTCAGTTTCTCTTGTTAGAAATTCTAAAAGGACAGTACGGAATGGTCTAAGATCTCCCTGCAACTTCTGTGCACGAATGATAGGCTAAAGCAATGATATCTACTCCATTTTAATGTGACTTAGCTTTGTCAGTAATTAGCACGTGCTCCCTTTCCAAAGCCCGCTGCTCAGCTAATATCCACCGACTGACCCAGCGTCCCATCAGAATTTTTGGCCTTTGCTGTGCATGTGGTGTGTCCTTTCCAGCCCCATCTCTGGCAGAGCAGAGCCCCTCTGCTGTGCCCTGCAGTGCCTGACATACCGAGCATCGCTCTGCTGGCAGACAGGCAGACAGGGAGGGACAGGCACAGACATCTGAACGGCTGTGATGGGAGCTCCTGGGCCACACTCACTGACATCAGGAATGGTGAGAGACACACTGTGCAGAACCCAAGGGGCTGGGGTGTAACATTTGCTTCAACTGACTTCTTGCTATACCAATAATTACCCAGCTGGATGTGTGGGCATTGTTGGGCGCCACTTCTATGTGACTTTCACAGCAGAAAGAAAGAAAATTTTGGCTGTGGTAGGGGGTGTGCTGCTCCCTGCCCCCAACTCATGGGTGTAACAGTACTTAATTTCTTGGCATCTCTGAAGACTCCCAAGTCAGAAGGGTGATGGACAAGAGCCAAAATCCAGAAACTGATAATTAAGGGAGTGAGAAAAAAGCCCAAGGAATTAATATTGGTTAACTGACCGTGAGCTGATATGCTCAAGTAGCTGGTGGTATTAATGGCTCTTTCTGGCACGGTGGGCATGGTGCTCATGAGTTCTGTAGCCAGCCTCACCACTGAGCTTTTCTGTTTCCAGACAGGCTATAATGTTACATTACCATTCCGCTTAAATATCCAAGTGCTGGTGCTTCAGCACAGCTCCAAATGGGTCTGGATACACAACTCACCTGCAGATGCGTCAGTGCAGTTCTGATTCGTGCTGTGGTCTGTGTGCTGTCGCTAAGCATCTGCTTAACACCTTGCACAGCACTCACCTTGTCCAAACTTAGATTAAAAAATACCTCTTGACCTGAATGAAGAACCTAGATTTTGCGTGCAAAAGGCTTTGGACTGCTGTAACAAGATTCTATCCTTTGGTTCTCCTAAGCCCTAAAAGAGGGAGATGCCGCCCTGGCAGCCTGTGCTTGTCTTTCCTTTGATGCCAATGCCGGTGCAGCACAACCAGTAAGGGAAAGAAGCCTAATGACAGTGAGTGTCTGCATGGATTCTGCAATACTGCATTTTAACTGAGGCATGCATGAACCCGTCGGGTGCTGAGCTGCTGGAAGCTGCTCCTCACTGCCCTCCAGTTGCCACAGGAGCATTCCCATGCCGTGGGAGCGTGCGGTCCTCGCTTGGGATACTCAAGTCTTTTATCTGATAGATAGGATGAGATTAGAAGAATGGTCCTTTAATTTCAGTATCCTGCATGTTATGAAATCCTTCAGGCAGGGGACAGAAACATCTCACAGGAATCCTGGGAAAAATAAAGCAGTTGTGATTTAATAAAGCTTGCAGTGCCAGATATCACAACTGAATGGAGGTGTTTAATATTCCGTGTTCATTAACTTCCATGAACTTTTCATAGGGCTTAGCTCTTCCAAGGTTAATGGTTTGATCTGTCTGAGGGTTGAGCTCAAAGGCTGCTCAGCTTAAGAAGCTAATAGTTTTCTACTTTATTTTGTTGGGAAAAGAAATTTCTCTGACTCCACTGTAGGTAAGAAACGCTCTATGTCCATTCTTCTGGATAATAAAACTGGCAAAGACATGGAATTAAACCATTATACAGTATATGATCACAGATGTTGTATAAATGAACCCCTGCTGGCATTACCCTTTCTTGATGTGAAGAGTTAGCCAAACTTCATGGTGGGTGTTTGCACGGGATGGAGCACTGAGCTCATTACTGCCTTGATGTTCCAAGCGCTCATACAAAGTCCTGTTTCCCTGAGTGCAGTGGGAGTTAAGCACCAGAGACAGCTTGGCTCATAGCTGCCAGTGTTCTTACAGGGAACAGGTTTCTATCAGCTTTGTTCTGCAGGCACAAGCTACCAAGGCTTCTCTCCTTCTCTTCCTCTCGTACACTTGCACGTTTCAGTCTTTGCATTGACACGCTGCATGGATTCACTGCATCTCCAGTGTAACTGGAATGTGGTGTAAATCAGGCCGCGGGTGTTTTTGCTGGAGGCCTGTTTGTGATGCCAGAGAATTTTCCTCCCTTCTGCAAACCTTTTCAAGCACTTACTTCTGCACTGCAGAGCTGCAAAGATTTCAAATGATAAATAAGAAATGACGTAGCAAGAACAACCAGACAGTCACCCAGCAACAGCAGATAAAACTTCCTTCATGGGAAATCACCTCCATGTCACACTTGTAAGATCTGAGAGATTTCTGCATGCCTACTATCACAGCAGATCTGAGTTTGCCGTGCCATTTCATTAGCATCATTACTGCTTGTGCTGGTGCAATTTTTAGAGCCATGTCTCCAGTGCATTTTCATACCTGCAGACTTTATGTGGCACTGGACAGCCTCGTGATTTAGATTTAGCAGCCAAATTCACTTGCTGATTGTTAGCAGATAAATATTTGCCCAAATACAGAAAAGTGCTGCTTATGTTAAGTGATAGAACGAAGCTGTGTGGCCACACAAAGTAATGGAGGATCAGCAGCTACTGCAGAGAAAATTAAGACCAGAGAGACTTAACTGACTTACTGATGGCTTTATGGTACAGAAGGGTGAATGCGGGTGAATCGCTTGGAGCTTGCATTAAAGCAGTAAAAGTTTTCACTAATTTCAATGACTTTGGATTTTATCTGTTACATATAACAATCATTTAGAGTTTGGGAGTTGTTTCTGCACATCATACTAACAAGCAGCTTCTGTTCTCTCCTCCCACAGAGCAGGATGAGCTGGTGCGGGAGTAGGAGAGGAAGAATACGATGGGAACAACACGCTCTGCTAGTGGAAGTAAAAAAATGTGTTTTGCTTTTGGACTTCTAAAGTTTCAGACACGTTCACTGCCTGTTGCTTTACTCAAAGAAGCAAAATTAAGCAGTACTACCAACAGCAGAATTTGTTGGCTTCTCCTGCTATTTAAAACACAGTTATCAAAAGTTAAGATACAGACTTAAGGGGGATGGCAGATTGGGTGTTCTGCATGGCCATATCTTAGCAAGACACTGCAAGCTCTCAGTGTTATGTGTCAGCTTTTTCCTCTGCTGTTTTCAGAAGCAGGAGTCTCACCTAGCAAAAAAAAAAAAAAAGATCTGGAAGCAAAGGGAGGCAAAGAAATCTGTTCCCAACAATGTAAGTGTCCAACCTTGATTTAAATGAATCGATCTTGAACTTCTGTTTAGCTCACCAACCCAAATATCTGCTGAACTTTTCTACGTAAGTGAAGTATTAAAATAAAGGTGGAGGAATGGGTAGGAGACGATATTTCAGGAGTGTATTTTGACCTGCAGTGCCTCTGGTTTGCTTTATGCTGGGTAATTCTTGGAGGTCTTTTCCAACCTTGGTGATTCCATGATTCTCTGCCATTTGTGATCACCAGTGATACAGTCGATTCTTTGTTTAACCAGTGAAGCCTGGAGGCACCACCGTGTCCTAAAAATGGCGCTGATAAATATGGAGCCACGTTAGGAAACGTGCTGGTGACCGACATTGTGTGGTGCTACCCTGTGTCGTATCAGGGAGCTGGAGAAAACCGAAAAGTCACAAGCAAAATATTCCAGTGAGGCTCTGGAGCTGACGCACGGTAGGAGCTCCAAGGTGCCACGTGGAAAGGCTGCCCAGTGCCGTCGTTCGGTCTGCTCAGTCAGCGTCACAGGTTTCTCTGCAAGCACAGCCTCTGCTTGGTGAGACGATTATAGCAGATTTGTGCTGCTCAACAAGAAACAGAAGCTTCATGTCTTGATGGTTCAGCTTTGTAGCACAGCCAGGAAATCTGCCCGTTAGAACTGCAAGCCTCTTTCATGCATGGCTAGTTCCAAAGTTCTGTGTAGAGGGATTTGGGAATGAAAAGTGCCATCTACAATTATGCATATTTTCATCATGTTCTGTCATGCAAATCTCCCCTCCCCAACTATGCTACAAACGTTTTGTTTGCGTATGTGGGTCAGTCACAGATCTGCAGTGATCTAACATCAACATGGGAAGCATAGGTTGATGTAAACGAATTTTAACCCAGTCTGAGAAGCACAATAATAATAACACAGGCATTTTACAGAGGAAACCTGTTTATTAGACATGTTCTCTTCATTTCATCTTATAAAACATTGCCATTGATTTGTGAAAGTACAACTGACAGAAGATACCCATCAATAATGGTGAGGAACTGTAACTGTTAGAAATGGATGGGTGGTTCTCAGGGAGCAACTTCTTTTTTCACTTGAGGAATGTTGAGAACAGGTTCCCTGGTGACGTGGTTGACACACAAAGCGTATCTTGTCCTGTTCTGTTAGCAAGAGTAACCCATAGATTCTGTTTTGGTTGAGCAGGGAACCAAACTGCTGATGAGAGAGCAAGGGTCATGTTACAGCAGATGATGAGATGGCTGCCCAGACCCATCGCGCTGGTATCCACCTGAGAGCAGCATAACCTCAACCCCAAGTTATCAACGAGCAGGGCCTTCCCATTCGTTAGTGCTCATTTTTTTGACCATAACTTGTGCTTTTTCTTTGACAGGAGTATTATAAAGTATTAAAGTATTATAACCAAAGTGCCTGCAAATTATCTTAATTTCCCCAGTATAGTCTGCATCAATAACACAGGCAAAATAAAAAGCCCCGTCTGAGTAACAGAAGACCAGCCGATCAGTAGTTGCTGCCATGACGTTCCCCACAGGTCCACAGACTCCAGTGGGGGCCAAGGCAGCAGGGCTGTCATTCAGGGTCGTGTCTGAGGAGGTGGCCAAGTCCACCTCGGCACTCCTGCTTGTTCGGGCGTACAGCACTGCTGCAGCCACCCGAGAGGCATTTACTGTCATCGCGTGCCCTCTTGGCTCCGTCGGGAGTTTCCTGCTGCGATAAGGGGTTGCCCCTCCTTATCGAATTTTGGCCGGCAATCTTGAGCCCCATGATTGCTCTTTCAACACGTGGGGCACAGTTGCTGTGCCGTTGCCTTTTGCTCTCTCCCACGGGCAATTTTTACAAATGTGCCCCTATTGATTACAGCCATAACACAGATGCTGCTGATTAAGGGATACAACGGCAAAAGCCTGGGCTGCTAGCGTAATCTGATGTTGGTGTGTACCAATATTCATACATGCATTAATCATATCTTCAGTAACGGGGTTCTGTAGGGTACGCAACACCTTTTGGCAGTCAACGTTTGCATTTTCAATCGCTACCCGTTGGAATACAAGAGTTCTCACCTGTTTATTATCAACCTGTTTTTCCAACGAGTTCTTAAGCCTATCCAGAAATGTCACATATGGTTCTTGGGGCTGTTGCTTAATGCTCACAAAAGACTGTCTTTGCTTTCCGGCCTCTGGCCCAGCCTGGAGAGCACACGTTGCTAAATGCTTTACTTGCTGCAGCCCTTCCGCAGGTATTTGCGCCTGCTGAACTGGGCTGGAGAAATCTCCCTCACCTCGAAGCATTCACATCTACAGCCCAAAGTGGATTTCCCTGCGGTAGCTTCAGGTTCTCAGTTGCCTGAATCTGTGCCAGCCCCCTCTACTCAGCTTCCCACACAGAGCATTGCATATCAGTCATGATAAGGCGACACATCATTTTGAAATCACGTGCTGTGAGAACAGAGCTATCGCGTATAGACTGAATCAAACCCACAGTATATGGGGCACTGATGCCATGGTCAGTGACTGTACGCCATAAATCTCACAGAACATTACATGACAAAGCTTCCCATTGCGGCTCTTGGTCCAGGGCCACAGTAACAGCGGAGGCCCTCAGCATGCGTATCTGTGTCTCCAGCTTTCCTAGCTTCCCTCTGAATAAGCACCCACATGTCATGTGGATCTGGGGAAAACAGATCTGGCTCTTCTTCAGAACCTATAGGGCCAGGATCAAAAGGATCATTGGGACCCTCAGGAGGTGGTGAGGACCCTCCATGGTGGTGGCAACAAGGGAGCTGATGGCACAGTGGGTGAGTCCAAGGAGGAGCCTGCGGCTCCTTCATCCTTGGTGGACTGGGGGTAGCCGACAATGAACCCGCATGACTTTTTAAAGCTTCAAAAATTCTTCTCCACGTTTGAAGCAACACTGGTGCCTCCTTATCACCTTTAGCTGACGTGTCCCACAGTTTCGCCCTGATCCCATCCCAAGTTAATGGATCATAAACTGTCCAATTTATAACTGAGGAATCGTTCCTAGTGGCCCATCAGTTGCAGGTCAGCAGAGGACGGTGCCTTCCCCCATTGTTTTAGGATACATTGAAAAGTAAGGAGGGTGTTTTCCTGTTCTGAGTTCATTTTATTCCTTGTGGTGCACAACTGCTTATCTTTGTCCAGCAAGACGCAATCGGAGCAGTGGGGATGATTAGGCTTCTTGCAGCCACGTGCTTCTTTCAGCACCCTCCTTTAGGCTTCTTTCAGCCTTCTTCAGACCAGTCTGCCTGTCAGCTCCTGTTTGGGAGCCAATTGTCACAAACGGCAGAAGTTTCTTGTGAGAAAAACGGCCTTGTGAGAAAAAAGCTGCACCTTTATTGCCCTAAGCATTGCTTTTATATTCTAACACAGTATTTTTTTCCCACTAACAATTCATTGGCTAAAATGCAGGCAGATTTCACAACAAGCCTTCCCAACAGCCGAGAGTTCATCTCGTGCTTAACCACAAAACATTCCATCTGTTCCGTTCCTTTTTCCACGTTCTATTTTCCCGTGGTCTCATAACCAGCAGGGCAGCGCTGATGAGCTCCAGCAGCCCTCTCCGTCCCCCGGTTTATTTGGGACGTCCCATGCCGCAAAGCCCCGCCCCTGGGCCCATATTAACTATTTCCTCGGGTTTCCTTTTCAGCCCTACCGCAGGTGAACAACGGGCCCGGCAGTGAATCGCCGCCCGCAGCGCCACCTGCTGCCCGCCCGCCCCGGGACACCGGCAGCCCGGGGCCGGACCGCCCGCTGCGCTTCAGTGGCCGGACTGCGCGCCCGCGCGTTCCGCTCCACCGCTGACGGCAGCGGTTGGGTTCCTGGCCCGGCGCGCGGTCGGGAGCACAAATGCAGCGCCCGACGGAAGCAGCGCCGCCAGGCACGGCCCTCGCGCACCGCCCATTCCAAGATGGCTGCGCCGCCCCGCCCCACGCCTTTCCGAAATGGCTGCCGGAAGGGGCGGCCGACCCCTGCCCGCTTCCAAGATGGCCGCCACGGCCGCGTGACGTCATTTCCGGTGAGGGCGGAGGCAGCGCCGGACCCGCCCGACGGGCCGCGGCGCCGCCATGGAGACGCGCGGGGGGCGGGCCCGGGCCGAGGCGGCGCGGGATGGAGCCGGCCGGGGCCCCGCCGCCGAGCTGCGCCCCGGCCCGGGAGGCGGAGGAACCCCCGGGGTCCCCGGCGCTCCCCGCCGAACCTCCGCGGGACGGCGAACCCGCCCGGAAGGCGATAGAAGAGGCGGTGGCGGAACGGAGCCGCGGTCGCGGCCCTGCCGGGCGGGCGGCGCGGGGTGGGGGGCGGCGCGGGCCGGAGGAGCGGGGGGCCCGGGCGGGACGGCGGCCCCGGGTCACCGTGGATAGCTCCAAGGCCAAGACCTCACTGGAGGCGCTGAAGATCAGCCTGCGGCAGCTGCGTTGGAGGGAGGTGAGCGCGGCTCCGCGGGGCCTGGCGCGGCGGCGGCTGCCGGGGGCTTCGCTCGGGGCCGGGCGCACTGCGGCCGCGCTCCGCTCCGCCTCTCTTCTGTTTTGTTCCGCTCCGCGGTGCATCCTGTGATGGTGAAGCAGGTGAACACGGCACGGCACTGCGTGTCTTTCCTGCGGCTCGGCGCCTGCCGTACCGCTGCCCTGGAAGCGCGGAGCCGCAGCAAACCACGCGTCATGAAGTGCTGAGTTTCTGCTGTGTTACTGCTACCGTTGGGCTGTTCTCGAAGTGCAGAGATTTTTTCCACAGAGACTTTAAAAATAGTTCTGTAGGAACTGGGGCTGCGTCTGGGGGCATCGCTAGGAACTCCTCAGAGCAGTGGAGTGCGTTTGGGAGGGGAAGGCCGAGGGCACGGAGCAGGGATGGAATCTAGGCTGGGACGCTGTGCTGCCGTCTGTGTGCCGTGCTGCGCTGCCCTCGGGATCCCTGCCTTGTCCCGGCTCCTCCTTCAGCCTCACGAGGTGGTTCTGTGCACCCGGTGCTTTTCGCAATTAGTCTGTGCGCTGTGGAGCAGGCACTGCATTCTGTGTCACTTCAAAGGTGAGAGTTAAAAGTTACAAAAGCTTCACCTCCTGCTCCTGCAACTGGAAGTTGGCCCGTGGTGCATCTGCCAGCAGCTCTGCTGCATCCTGCCCAGTGGTGGCAGAGCGGGGCGTCCCCCTGTTGTGGTTTTTGTGCTCTTGGCCAAGTTTTATCAGCACCGTTCCAGTGGGTGTTTTTAGGCATTGATTTAAGTCAAATTGCAGCTTTGGTTGTTAATGAGCTATGTTTAGCGGTTAACTTTGTCCTTCTCATTTCTTGAGGTTTTACTGTACTCATTATCTTGTTTCCTGCATTTTTCGTGCGTGATTTACTGCCCTCCAAGCTGACTTTGTTTCTTATATTCATATTTTTCCTTTCTAAACTGCATTACCAGCATTCTCCCTCCCACTCTGCATCCCACAGCAGCAGTTTTGGCATCACTTAATCTTTTTGTGTTTGCTGTCTTCCTCAGTATCCTATCTCCTCCATCCGATAGCATTTTCCATTTATGCTGCTGCTTCTCTTCTGGTCCATTCTTAGTCTTAATTCTTTATTTGCTACTTTCTCTGCTGTGTGCCATTGACTGCACCATTGAAGCAGCCAATAACTCACCCTCCCCAAACAGATCACAGATATACACCTGTAAAATGTTCATCTGCTTATAGAAAAGCGATCATTATGTATGTAGATGGTATTAATTTTTGTCAAGAAAGTATTTTCTCGAATCAATGTACAAATCAGATAATCTTCCAGACCCTCCTGCCCCAGGATGTGGAGTAACGAATCCACATGTTAGTGATGTCTTGTAACTGGTGCTGTTTGCATTGTGGAAGAGAAATCCAAGGAAAACTCTTAGAGTTAAGCTGCATAATATTTTGAATTCTTTCCTTCTAAATGTTTAGAAACGGAGCAATGTAATACTCAATATCACTTACAGGCAAAGAGCCTGGGAAATAATTTCACTGTTACAGCAGAATCAGTAGAGGGAACACATGCACCGTTTCTTGTATGACCAATAAAAATAACGTGAAACAAAGGGGCAGGTATTACTGCATCTCTCGCAGTGCTGATGTCCTAGGGGCTGGTCCTTCACTCTGTTCCCTTCTGTATCACTTCCCCAGCTGATCACGTTGGGCTGTGCCTTGGTGTACATGGTCCTTCTCTCACACCACTCCTGTCACTGTTTCTCCCATTGCTGCTTTTGTTTTGTTTCTCTTCTCTCTGTTTGCTGTTGGACCTGTTGTCTTAAGTATTTTCTTGGGCAGGAGATGTTTTACCGGGCTCTTTGAGGTGGGCTCCTTCATAGTGATAACTTTTGTCTGCTGGATAATGTCATGCTGTGTCATAAAGCTTTTGGGAGCTTTCTTAAATGTAAGTTGTACGTTCTGACACCTTTCTATAGGTGCCTTGATTTGCCAGAGGAGCTTTGGTTCAGTTACAGGCTGTTACTGCAAGGTGCTCCCTGTACTCATGGCATTGTCCAGTGTTAGTAGGGCATGTTAGTCAGTTAACACAAATACCACCGTTAGCCCAAAGGGGGAAAACAAACAAACAAAACTACAGAGGAAAAAAAGGAGAGAGAGGAGCACTGTAAATACAGCTGGTACCGGTGAAGAGTTTATTCTGTGACACTGATGTGTGAGGGAGAGGTGAAGGTGTCTGGAAATGCTCTGTCAGAAGCAGTGAGAGCATTGAAACAAAAGCCCCAAACAAAACTGCTTTCCAGCCAGGGGAATCCTGAGGAAGCTGAACTGTTGGCCAGGACAGCCCTGTCCTGCAGCACATGGGGACCTTCCAGCATGCTCTGTGTGTGCTGGGGATGCTGGCGCTGGCAGTGCTGGTGGCACCGTCTGAGGCAGGGCGTTGTGTTCTTCGAACGGACGCAATGTGCCCAGTGAACTAACAGGCATCCCGAGTTGTATTTTTCACTCAATAAATTATTTTTTGAGTAGCTTTAAATTACCAGGAGAACAGAAGTGGGTGCCTCCAGCGTTGGTGTCACGGCATTTTGTTTGCCTTGCTGTTGGGCTGCATGGAGGCAGAGAAATACTTGGAAATGTGGAGCTCGGGGAGGCTGACGAGGAGACGAGTCATCTAACTTGTCATTAAATGTGATGGAACAGAGTGATGTGACCCGTGGGACAATTTACATTATTGGCTTCCAATCTAAAGGTAGAAATGAGCTGCCAGGCAGCTCGGCCATGATTGACGATGGATTGTGTCAAAGTTGTGAGAATGGTTCAGTTCGCTTTGTGGGCTCCTGTTGGCCCTCCCTGACAAATGCCCTCTGCCTCTGAATAAAGGAGACCTCAGAAGGGCTCTGTGGGGCTGGAGAGCAGCAGGCAGCGTGGCAGGGGGGGCTGCAGGAGCAGATTGCAGCCAAGGGCACCCCATGTCTTCACACTGCTGCAGGAAGACCCAATTTACCCAAATGCAATTAATTTCATCTGCTAAGCGCTGCTTGAGTGGGTCAACTGACCTGACTGGTGGGTTCCTTTCCAAACGCTATTCTTATGCAAACGTATAGTGCAGACGATGAAGAATCTGTCCCAGCCTATTCAGGAGATGAATTAGATCCCAGCATTGGATAAATCCAAATAATCTTGATTTGTCAGAAGCGGTGAAGCTGCTGTGCTATCTGAATCAGTGATCCTGGGCTGAACGGCTGCCTCCCGGCCGCGTGCTCCCTTCATCTGCTGCAGATTTCTGTGCAGTGTTTGTAAAGTGCTTTGATATCCTCGGCAGATGAAAGGTGTTATATAAATGCAAATTCTGTTCCTTTCGTTTCAATTTCATTCAATAAATAAATAAACAGTGCAGGTTTTAGCCGGAAGGGCTGAGTGAGACCTCGTGCTGCATCTGTATTCTGGGTGCACCTGAGGAGAGGTTAAGGCCACTGATTGTCTTTCAGAGCCGAACAGAATTAATTTTCACTTCTACAAAAACAGTTTTTGTGGGCTGAATAGTAATGAAAGCAGCAAAGAACGCTCTGTGTCTGCTCTATGGGCTATTTCATCCCTAGGAGTAAGGAAAGAGTTATGTGACAGAAATAGGAAATGTGCCGCTAAGCCAGCTTAATTTTTTTTCAAAGGTGTTCACTGGTAAAAACTTTAGTTTTAATTACAGTGGCAAATAGGGGAAGTAATTCACCCAGAAGCTTCCGTGTCCTGAAGGTGCCGTGGTCAGAAGTGCAGCATCTCTGTGCGAGCTGAGGGAACCCGTGCTGCCCAGCACTGCCCTGCTTTGGGGGCTGCTGCTTTTAGCAGCCTTTGTGCAGTAATCCTTAACGAAGTTGAAATCGTTGCTTTGGTTCTGAATAGTTGAAAGCTCTACAAATGGTTGGTTGAACTGTGAGCTTTCTTTTTATTTTACTACTATTGCTACCAGAAAGGAATATACACACATAAAAGGAAGCGTACAAATGTGTAGTTACTTTGTTTAAACATCTTGACTCCGGAACCCATTTTACATGTGCTGCAGCTGGGGCACCAAGGCAAGCCTGCTTGCTCGCAAAGTTCATGGCAACTGTTCCTTGTATTAACTTACAGCAGCGCTGCTGACCAGTGCTCCTGTGCCCTGAACAGGGAGCGAGGCTGGGTTACTGAGCTTGGACTCGGTGTATGTACAACAAAATTGAGCCCATGGTTCTTTGTGTTACATAGTGATATATTTGAGAACAGAAGTTGGTTTATTAATGCCAGTAAGGACAATTCCTCTGAGACCTCTAGTTCTTTTCTTTCGATGGCTGCTATTAACTCCTGAAACTGTAAAGGAAAAAAGAAACCCAAGCAAGAGCATTATCAGACTTTGCTTACTTCCCAGTGGTAGCTGCTTGCTATTGCTGTGTCTTCACATTCTAGAAGTAAGAATTTCTAATTAACTTTATTCTCTATGACAGCGTTTTACATTGCAAACAAGTCGAGCCTTAACTGTGCTTGATAGCAAGCTCTAAATTTCTCAGAGCTTGTGCCACAGCTGTTTGTAAGGTTTTACAAACCTTTCCTGGTGAACATCCTCAACTTCAGCATCTTGATCTGATGAAATATTCTGTTTTGCAACCGAAATGCAGAGCATGTGTTCTTTTGTGCTGTTCTTGGACGGTTTGTGCTTAATGTGAGCGCTGAGAGAAACAGACACGAAGAAGTGTTGCCAATTTGCTTCAGAACTTCTCTCATCTGTTTTCCAGTTTCCCTTCGGCAGGCGCCTGCCGTGTGATATCTACTGGCATGGAGTGTCGTTTCATGATAATTACATATTCTCAGGTCAAGTCAACAAGTTTCCAGGTACGTCATTTCTGGTTCTGCGTGGAACAAGTGCTGTTAAAACAGGACGGCATTGACTTTGTGTGCTGTTCCTTGTGGGACTCATCTGCCTACCGGCTGGTCGGACTTTTACCAAATTATTTTTGGTAGGTGAATCATGTTTGGGTGGGGTGTGAATATCAGAATGTGGATCTTGAACAGTTTGTGGGCTGAAATTTGTTTTGGACAAAGAGAGGTTTTGATGAAAAGGAAACTTTGCGTATGAATTTATGGGGGAAACTGTGTTAGGTTATTACTGAGGTGAAAGAGGTATGCAGCAATTGTACGTTACCTAATGCTTTGAACAGTGCTGTATCTTTTTTTTTTCCAAATTGGAAATAATCTGTTTTGTTTCGTATGCCCAGCTGAGAAAGAAGCTGAAAGCAGAGCTCATCAAATGTCTTTTTAATATTGAAGAGTTCATGCCAGCTCTCAGCTTATTATGACTATTCCACTTTTATTAAGCTCCTTTTTTTCTCTTTTAATCCCTGTTGAGATCTCTCTAAATAAGGACTAAGAGCTTAGGTATTGACTTATCTAAGCCCTTTACTTCAGATTTATTGCTGCTGTTAGTATGCTGAGAGAGTAAGAAACCACAGACATTGAACTTCATGCTCTATTTACCCAACTTTTTCATGTCTCCAGGTATTTCACATTCAAATAGAAGATGTTATTGTTTTCTGGTGACTTAAATCTCAGTGTTACAGGAGCGTTACCCCTGCTGCAATCTGGCTCCTATGTGGTAGCTGAGTAGAGCACACTGTCCCTCAGAACTGGAAATGATCCCCAGGAATGTTGTGTATCTGGATACCAGGATTTACTAAATTTCTTGTCTTAAAGAAGAATTCTTGTGAAGAAAACCCACAGCTGTTGCTCTTACTGAGAAAGGAGCTGTAGCCTGAACCTGGTTGTGAAGTTTGATGGTTACTCCCAAGAATAACCCCAAATGCTTCTGATTTGGGAGCTTAGAGCAGAGCTCGTGCTCATCTGGATGTGGTGTGATCCAAGCATGAGATTGGAAGCTGCAGGAAAGCAGGCTTTGCAAGTTCTGCTCCCAAACCAATCTGTTCTTTCTGACACGGTTACACAGATGAATGTGAGTGTTCCCTCAAAGTGTTCCCTCTCCTGGAATGTTTGCAGGACAGGGCAGTCATTTGGGACTGTGACAAAGACAGTAGCTGCTAGTGGACTACAGCTTTCCATCTATTGCTCCAAGTTTTGGATAACTAATGGATTTTCTTCTTATGTCCTAGGACAATACATACATTGTGTAATAGCACTACAAGTACTTTTGTCAAATTTAAATTCTAAAAGTTGTTTGGGCTTTACTAAAGCCGTGGCTTTAGTGCCTGCCAATAGAGTGAATCGTGGTATGACTTTTTGGGGTGAGGCTTTGGTGCGGATCCCTCTTGGTGTTTAGGTTCTGTCTGTTTTTGCAGGCATGACGGAGATGGTACGTAAGGTTACGCTGAGCCGGGCAGTGAGAACGATGCAGGATTTGTTTCCTGTCGAATATAACTTCTATCCTCGCTCCTGGATTCTGCCCGAGGAGTTTCCCCTCTTTGTGACTGAGGTGAGCTGCTCTGACTCAGAGCAATGTAATTTGTGTGTCGTCACAGTGCAATTCTTCAGTTTTTCATGCTGACCAAATTACTTAAAATCACTCTCCAGGTGCAAAGGATGGCGTTTTTTTTATTTCCTTGAGGTTGGATATAGGCAGGATGCACTGCTTTTAATTTTTCATGTTCTAGGACAGATTTAAAAACAACGATGCTTCTCTGCAATAGTGGAAGTGTTGTCTGAAAATTAAACGTGGTGCCTCTATGTTTCACTGAGTGTAAAAGGCCTGAGGAAGTTCCAGCCCAGCAGTGTGTGCAGTGAGGTATCTCAATGGGCCCTTTATCACTGGAAAGTTTCTTGTCTGTCCTGCCTGATTTGAATTCTTCAGTGCAGAGGTTTGTAGTATGTGCTGTGAAGTATGTGAATTTCTTCCTGAGTAATTGCTTCTTTAAATCTCATCAAGCTGTTTCTTTGGTTAAATATCTTTACGTATGGACTCTTCAAGAGTGCTGGGCACTGCTATGGCACCACAAGTAAGGGAAAAAGTGAATAAAATCCCAACAGTACATCAGCTTTATTGCTTCAGAAGGAGTAAAAGGAGTGCAAATGATCCGTTTAGCTATGGCAGGTAGGTAGCAAAAGAACTTGGAAGTGAACTTTCAAAGTGGGCACTTGGTTTTATGAGGGTCCTTGTGGGGGTCGTTCTGTGTCAGCGTCGCTGCCGGTGGCGCTGTCAGCAGGTGGCACTGCGGGTAAATGCTGCTCTGCTCCAACAGTTGCCGGAGTGGAAACAATTTGGTTTTTGTTCCAAGAATAACAGATGTCCAGCACCACGCTCCTAGGAGTTTCCTTTGCATATGTTTTTCCATCTGTGTTTGAGAGAAGTGTAGTTCTTGTTATCAAACATTATATTTTATGTTGTAAGAGTTTGTTTAGCTTAACACGAGTTTGTAATGGAAGTCCTGTAAAACAAGAAGAAGTACCAGCAGAAAGCACTGTCAACTCTTCCATTTTTCCACTGTCTCTTGTGCCTCCCTCCTGCTGGAAGCACCACAGCCAGCCTCGTGTTCATCCTTCGTGCTTTGGAAGGCAGTAATCATTGACAGAGCTGTGCTCTTAACTTTGCTGTGGATGAGCTGCAGGTATGGGGAAGTGCCAACAAAATGTAGCTCCCCGTTGTCATTTGGGTTAAACTGAGATGGCAGTCGCATTTTTAACGTGGGATGAAAAGTTGGTTTTAGTTAGCAAATATTTATTTGGCTGTTTTAAGTATTTACTTATGTCTTCTAAAATGTTCTCTGTTAATATGTCCACATAATGGAAGATGATTTACAGGTAAACACATCTCCTGGGAGCTGTGGTAATCATCCCTTCTCTCTCACAGAAGAATCGATTGGAATCTATGCGATTAGAATTCATTTTTAATAGGAAATTCCAATTTCAGAAAAGTAACTAGCTTGGGATTCAAACTAGGACTGTGATTACTCTCATGTTGCCTTCTTTCTGTGGTCTGCGAAGATGATGAATAGGCCTAGTGTGATTAATTTTTAATAAGAGTCTAATTTGGACAGTCTAATTTCCAGCACTGGGTATTTTTGGTGGCTTAATCAGGTTTTCAGCTATTGGGTACCTCTTAGTTATAGACATGAATAGCCCATTCTTTGTGCTGTCAAATCTTATAGCTCATCATATGCATTTCTGTAGGGCACTATTTCATCCAGCCAGCGTTCTTCTCAGGAAAGGAAAATCCACAACTGAATCCAGTTTTCACACCACTGGACACCTCGCTGTCCTCTTGCTGATGACTGTGAATGGCTAGCATGTTTCTAAAGACAGCTAAATACACAGAAATATTTCATGTGAGTGGATATTATTACATGACTTTTCTCAGGCTGACCAAGCTGCCTCCACATGTCGCTTCTAAAGAGTATGGCTGAGGGAGAACTTGAAAATGGCTGTTCAGGAATATGCTTGAATATCAAGAAACCCATCTTGTATTGTTCAAGCCAGTCAGTCTGCTGACAAATGGACTGACTCTGGATTCTTATTCCCACCTATATTCTGTCTGGCATGTCTTGATGGCCTAGAAAGCATCAGTACTATCTGGAACACTTCTGACACAGATCTGGAGGCGCAGCTGTATTGCTGCCTGGAAGGCAAACAGCTGGAGGGAGTGTGTGCACAGTGTGTGCTGAAGCCTGGAGCTGCAGGGGGCCTCGCCTGTACCTCAGAAAATGATTTCCTTTGCCCTTAAATTGAAAGAGTTGAGCATGAGATATTGATCTTCTTTCATATTACAAGAAAGCATCGTATTAAATTAACTCGTCTGGCTTTGATTAAGACCTTTCCTGCAAATAATCTTGTCCTTTTTTTCTTTCTTTCTTTAGAATGGTTTCTTACTGAATTGGTGGGGTTACTCTGTCCTTTGTGTATCCTTGTGGTACTTCATGGAAACATGAGTGCATTACATATCACAAGGCTTTTAATTTAAAAAGAACACAAACCCCAAATGGAAGTATATTACATCTCTGTTAGTCTGGATTGAAATGCAAGTTGTCTTTCCTGTAGCAAATTTCTTATGTAATTCTCCTGCTGCCTTTGCTGGCCAGAAAAAATGCGTTGTTCTCTTCATCAAACAAGATGACAGAACAGGGAATGTGCTGTCTTTTGTTTTTTGAAGCTATTGTGCAGGGAGCACGTGGCATTTAGACTTTACAGTGTCCTGGCCTCCCTCTGTAGTAAAAGCACATCTTGCTCTGACCTCAGACAGCAACCAACGATGGCTAAAATGCAGAATTTCAAAAGCAGGTTGCCGGGCCATCTTTAACAACAGTCCCCAGAAAGCACTATTCTTTTTCTGAAGAAATGCTGCTGCTGCGGAGCAGAAATAGCCTGAGGCATGAAGGGCAAGGAGAGCAGCAGGCAGATGGCCCTGCTCCCTTCACAGAGGTTCTGTGTCATTTCTGCCCTAGTAGATCATGATTGGCTCTTTGTTTGTACAGCTTGAATCACAGAAGAGCACGTGTAGTTGTGGAGGTGTAAGGTTAGCCATAAACCCTTCTGGTATGCTAACTTTAGCAAAGTGAGAGCTAGAAAGAATCCTTCGGTATGCGGTGTAGCATCACGTCATGGGGAGATTATTCCTTACTGGTAAAAAGGCCAGGAGATAAACCCTGCTTTCCTTCTTTGCACGTTAAGGTCGCAGATCTACTTGGGCTTGTTTATCCACAAGCAGTTATGTAAGCCCAATCTCCAGTGTGGTGCTTTGTCCCTTGGAGTGACCTGATTGAAGGAGGATCTTTGTTCTGTTGGTGCGATGCTTGTCCATGAGAGAAGCCCTGGTTGAAATAATCAATCTTGTATTTCCACTGTAGTTAGTAGGAAGGCTTTTAGTAGCAGGATTCTCTAGCATGGGTCACTTGCCTGAAGCAGGCACTGCAGGGTTCTGCTCGAGAAGCACAGTTTTCTTCCTGCCACCCACCTTTTCCTGCGTTTGTTGTTAAACCAGTGCTCAGTTGTTGGGGTGGTTGGAGCTGGGCTGTGTGCAGCTGAGCATCCCCTGCTTCTGGAGTGCTTCTGTTCAGAGAACTTGTTAGCATAAGGAGTGTTTGATACCGTTTTCAGGAAGTCTGCAGAGCAGAAGCAATTTCTGTGAAGGATGTTGAATGGTTAAACGTGTTCTGACTGTTGACTTCTCTATGCATTCTTGCCTTTTAAAGTGCATTACCCCAGTGTGGATGCTGGTGTTGGCTGTTTGCAGGCTCATACACTAGAGTGCAGTGTTTGGTGCTGTACCAGCACAGGAATGGGGGATGCCTGAGTGCAGTGAACATCTGCTGTGGCTTGAGATGTGGAGTGCTGTGCACATTCATCCAAAGATTTTTATTTGTCACATTGTCCCCAGCTTTCCTCTTTCCTGATGTCACAGTGTGTACATCTAAGGAAAGCATCTGCACTGTTGTGATTTAACAGATTTTCTTAGTACAAATCAAAGCCAGAGTTGTTGAGTTTGTGATAAGGTTTTCTTTCTCTTCCACTGAAGGAAGGCTAATAGTTGGATGTCAGGCCTAGTGGGAATTCTGCTGCAACCCAGAAAAATCTTCCTTTTGGAGAGTGATGGTGGGCAGCAGCTCAGGTGTAAGCTGTATGTTTTATTTAGTAAACTCTTGATATTTGCTGAATGTCTGTATATGGCTCAATATGCTCCAGATTTACTAACATTGGGTATCCAACTGTGAAAAATATTCAGTGATGGAAAAAGAAATTACCTGTGTGAAATTCCTACTTCCTTTTTTTCTCCCTGCATGTATATCTCAATAAGCAGGCTGCCTTTCTTTGTCCATAATTTCAAAACGCAGCACAGAATTTTAACTTTACAGTTTCATACACGTGAACAGCTGCTCAAATGACCTGGTGAGTTACGTGGCATTTCATTCCACAAATTGGTGCATAAGATTGAGAAGTTGTTCCTGGAATTGTTTATATTCAAGAAAATGTCCTTGTATCTGCACTAGTAACATTCTACTCATGTCCTTTTGTTTAGTTTTGTGCTTGTCACTACTGTTTATCTTCTATATATTTAATATGGTGTTTACTGCTATTGTGATGAGATTGTGCTACTTTCTTTTTTGTCGACGCATGTAATTTTCTGCCTTTCGTAGCACCAGCTCCTTTTCTCCCCTTATTAACATCCTTCAGTTTAATTATTTTCATCCTAGGTTCGTATGATGAAAGAGAGCGATCCGTCCTGGAAGCCCACTTTTATTGTCAAACCTGATGGCGGGTGCCAGGGGGATGGAATCTACCTCATTAAAGACCCCAGCGACGCCAGGCTGGCCGGCAGCCTGCAGAGCCGCCCGGCGGTGGTCCAGGAGTACATCTGCAAACCGCTGCTTGTGGACAAGCTGAAGTTTGATATTCGTCTCTACGTCTTACTGAAATCCTTGGAACCTTTAGAGATTTATATAGCCAAAGATGGACTTTCTAGATTTTGTACAGAGCCCTATCAAGAACCCACTCTGAAAAATTTGCACCAGGTTTTTATGCACTTAACTAACTACTCACTAAATATCCATAGTGGGAATTTCATCCATTCTGACAATGTAAACACTGGCAGCAAGAGGACTTTCTCAAGCATTCTGTGCAGACTGTCTTCCAGAGGAGCTGATGTCAAAAAGGTTTGGTCAGATATAATTTCACTGGTGATTAAAACAATTATTGCACTGACACCAGAACTGAAAGTTTACTATCAGTCTGACATCCCAGCAGGAAAGCCTGGGCCAACTTGCTTCCAGGTAGGTCGGAATTTCTGACAAGAATGCAGTTATTTGTATGCATGGATTCACTTTCTGGATGTGCCCTTTGTTTTGTTGCTTATCACTTGTTCGATGTGGTGGAAGGAGGAATGGCAGATGCAGCCTGAACAATGCGTTGTATGAGTTCACAGCTTAAGTTCTTACCCAAGTTTTACCTCAGAAATATCAGCTGGCCTATGTTACTGTATAGGATATCAATCATTAGCAGCAATATTTTTTCCAGTTCCTAGCTTCTGGATGATGCAGCATGAAGCTTTGCTGTTGCCTGATGAGACCTACTTGTGATAAATGCTGCAATTCTGTGCTGGTGGATGCAGTGTTTAGAGCTGGGTGTAGTATGAAAGTAGATATTAGGATCGAAGTCAAATGGCTGCAGTAATGATTCAGCAGTATTGTTTGTTTCTCAGTTATTTCTCTTCTGTCCCTCACGTGTTTCTTCCACCTGAATGTTGACCTTTGAATCACCACTGCATTCTCTAGAAGAACACCTTAAATAGAAGGAAAGTAACACGCTGTTTGTTATGCACAGATTTTAGGGTTTGACATTCTCCTGATGAAGAACTTGAAGCCCATGTTGCTGGAAGTAAATGCAAACCCCAGCATGAGAATAGAGCACGAGCAAGAGGTAAGACCTCTCAACATAACAGTGATATGGGAATGATATTGTCTAGGATTAGTTTTTTGGTCTTTCTCCTTGTTTGAGATATGAAGGCTGTCTGCTCATATGAAAACTCGGAGGCTCTCTGTAATTTTCTGCTTTGAAATCATTACTAATGTTATACCTTTGGAATATGACTTACTGGAATTGTGAAAGCTCTCCATCCTCTTTGTCATAAATACATTTATTCATCATCCCCTGCAGTTTTCTTAACTGTATTTAGAGCATTGCTGAATTTTTTTCACGTTTGTATGTATAATATAAATGGTAATATTGGCAACAATCTCTCTTTAAATTTTGGGTTACTAGAGAAATTTCCTAAAATTGTTGTAACATCATACTGAAAATACTAAGATATTTGCTTATTCTTAAAGAAGTATTTTGTAATCTATCATTGTGTTTTTAAAACATGCGTGATACACATGGAGTTGAGAAGATGCAGAATCAATAATCCTCAGTTCTACACTGAATAATTCCATCCCTTTCTGAATTAAAGCTCTCTCCTGGGGTGTTTGAAAATGTCCCAAGTCCTGTTGATGAAGAAGTGAAAGTAGCTGTTATCAGAGATACTCTTCGTCTGGTGGACCCCCACAAAAAAAAGAGAAAAGATATTCAGTAAGTGTTTTCTGTCATTTAGCGGCAAGCGTAAAGATGTTATTCGTGTTCTGTGATTTCAAGGGCACATTTGCTGTCCTCTTGTGGAAAGAAATAATCAAAATAATTGTCGAGGAATGTCTCTCTAATCCATGCCAAATAGTCCCCTGAATTAGACATGACAGTATTGACAAGTTCTGTATTGCAGCAATACTGCTAAAAGATGAAGCTTCTTGCAGAGGCAGTGCTGCACACAGGTCGTGGGTTTGGCATCGAGGATGTCCTGTGCCTGTCCTGTGTTAGCTGTGCTGAACCTTCACCCTTAAGGTTACTTTGGTGTGTGGCACTCAAGATCTCTTTTTAGCCTGTAATTATGCAACTGGTTGTTTTGTTTTCTTTTACACTGATGTAATGTTGGGCGTTCGTTTAATTACACATTAGATATGGAAGAAAGGCAAGTGATGATTACAAAAAGGAATTGCTGGAGAATGCTGGCATGTGTCTGGGAAGCTTATTCAACAGAGAATTCTTCTTTGATATGTTTTGACTGCTAAATAATGTAGAACAGGATTAGTCAGCCATGAGACAAACCATGGGCTCTTCCCAGAAAGAATTCATCAGTGATGCTGCTTTTTTCAGGATAATCTGTTGGTGAATATCTGCATACCTGCACCGTAAGGCAGTCTTGTTTGTTAGTGCACAGGGTGGTATCCCTGTAACTTCTTGTATGGGTACACAGGACATGTGTGACAGCTTCCAACTTGTTGAACAGGAGCTTGCTCATGGAGCCTCTTAAGAAAGGCATGATCTTACTGTAAGCTTCAAGTAAAGGATGATCCCATTCTCATCACCTTGAAGATTTACACCCAAGTAAAAGCGTTTGAGATGGGGACTGAGCCCCACTTGCTTCTGCCCCATCTTCACCAGTGAAGGTTTTGCAGTGCTTTTTGCTTTTTTCTTTCACTCCTTTCAGTGCCTTTCAGCTAGTTCTGAAGTGTGGTCCTCCATTCCTTCTCCAAACGTTTCTACAAGTAGCTACAGAGAAATGCCATCCATGTAGGTTTTCCAGGCAAAGATGATTGACTGGATGTAGAAAGCTGGATAGTATTTTATGTGTCATTGTAGTACTTCTAGTCTTATTGTGGTTGGCAGCAGGGAAAGCAAAATTTGTCCTATTAATGTATTGAAGTAAATAAATAGAGGCTGGTGATGGTCAGAACTGTTGATTTCTGGTTTGAACATCTGTCACCAATTATAGTGGTGTTTTTTACAGCTTAAGCTTTGTCAGTAATGTTCGCTCTTTTGCCTTGAGTTTATGATTCAGGGGAGAGCTTTGGTGCCAGCTGGTCATTGTATCATCAGGAGGGAGCAAATCAAAGCCCAAGAGGAAGAGAAGGAGCAGGATGTAGTTGGGTATGTGTCATGTGGAGCAGGGTGGCATGTGTCCCTTCACAGTGCCTAGCAAGTGATCCCAACATGTGCTTTTATCCCCTCTGCAGCAGCCAGTGTGGTCAGAAGGGCTGCCTGCACTCACCTCGTCACACAGGGATGCAGTGCAGGAGGTTGCACTGTGCTCCAAAATGTTTCTGCAAAGAAAACCCAAACCCCAACAATTTGTATAAAGTATAGCAGTACTGAATTTGCTGCAGGCAGTCTGCAGTGGAGGAGGGAGAAGTGACTTGAGCCTAAAGGAAACTTCCGCAGTTAAATGAACGGTCTGTTGACACCAAGCAGCATTTGAAGTAAATCAGTGTTACTTTATGTAAACAGCTGTTTAATTAAGATGATCGCTGATGCAAATCACTGCTTATATTGTGCCTCCAACAGAAAATCTATTTTAAAACACATTGCAAACTTTTTTTGCCTAAGTTTGAATTTGTATAGTAGTGAAAGATGTTCATTTCAATATTCACTTAATTGTTAGCAATTTGTTCTTGTTAAAATTGCATTAAATGCCAGGAGCAAAAAGGAGTCTCAGCCTCATGTGCAAATACTGTGTGTTCTCAGCTGGCTGTCAGTCTGTCTGGTGGTGTCATTGGAAGCTGTGTGTCATGTGGAGCTGCTCTGCTCTAAAAGTCTTTAGAAGTTTACTTCTGCTCTCCATCAGTGCTGCTGAGCTCCTTCCCTGTCCTGTTGAGAATATTTGTGTCCTGGTTTATTAATGCTGATTAATCTGGATAAGAGATAATAAGAAAATTCTTTATATTTGTGTTGCTGTTGTTTCTTCTGCGTCCCAGTATGATCTCTTGGATTTCCATGCCTATTTTTTATTTATCTGAAGGCAGAAAACAAGCGTTTTACTCTTTGACAAGGAAGCCATAGTATAACGCCGTGTTTATCATCACAAGATATGAGTGCATCGTGGAGTAAAATCTGCTTTGTTCACATGTTTGAGACAAAGGAGGTGCAGCCCCCTGAGTCACGCAGGGGCTTTTATTCAGCAGTGGAATTGCTGCTGACAGAATAAAGAATTGAAGCACTTTGGAAACTAAATGTAATTTAACATATGGTGGTTATAAAAAATAATCAATTTGTCGTGTCCACAAGAAGAGCTTTAGCTTTATAGCTTACTGTACTGTTTCATCAGTAGTTTATTTTTTCTTGAGTGCTTCTTCTCTATACATGCTGTTATTTTTGTTGTTTTATTCTTGCACACACGAACAAAAAAAAGATGATTTATTTTTTTCTACTGTATGAAGGATGATGCATCTTTCTCACTTTAAACAGTTTCTTCTTCTAGTATTGGGAAAAGCTACCAGTTTCCAGTTGGACAACATGGAATCTGTAAAGAAGGGGTTGGGGAAAAAGGCAGTATGGCTTTATTTCTGGATGGCTGTATTTCTTCTATTTCCCAGATACTTTCCTGCTCAGTTTCATAACCTCTCCTGCTGCACACATTGTCTTTGCATAGCATATTTTCACGTATCTTCAGCATGATTATCCCAGACTTGATGACGAGAGTCATTCCTGCTGTTGATGACTGTGTGTATCTCACTGCATGTTCTGAGGTTATGGTGGTGGGATGGGGTGGATTAAGGCTGGAACTCGGGTCATAAGCATGCAGAGGCGGAGCAGGGTGACAGAGGTGCGGCAGCTTTGCTGATCAGCAGAGAACGGCTGTGCTTCAGCTTTGCTGCACAGCGCCTTGGTGTGTGCTTCTGTGAGCCCACGCTGTGCTTCTGCAGGGATTCGTTCCGTGGGGCTGTCAGTGCCTGTGGAATTATATGGGGTGAAATTAGTATTTATAAAATAAGCACGTAATAAACGTAGCTCGGTTAATACCAATATTTTGGTTTCCATTTGCTGATTGACTTTTTTAGCTGACTCCTGCAGCTTTAGCTTGATTCCTGTGTTCTTTTGTTATTGCTTGGAAGTCTGGTCAGGTTTTCAGCTATTCAAATGCTTCTCAAGCACCACCTCTTCATTTTGAGCCTTATTCCAGCCCGAGAGTCTATAAGCTCATATGAATGGCTTTTTTTGAGATTGATCTTTCTACTCTGGCTCATTTTAGAGGCTGACACAATTCTTTTCTCCATCAGTCAAAATGACCGAGCATTCATATTCAGCATCATTCTCCCAAAGCCCTTTGGAAATACATCGAATTAAACCCTTTCTCTTTCCTAGAGGGTTTTTTGTTTTATTCCTTCATCAGGCAATCTGCCAACTTCACTATCAATTCTTGTCCATTACGTTAGGCCACGTGGCTTCTGAGGAGTTAGACATGTGGGGATGACTTTTAAATGTGATGCCTGCCAGTGTTACTTCAGTTCAGATTAGTGGAACGTTAACTTTGTTTTTCTGTCAATTGGGTGGTTGTTATTTCTGCTGCTGTTTCCCATCCTGCTCAGGAAGAACTGCCCTCAACTACCCTGTTTGGTTTTGTGAAGCAAATGCTATAGGTGCCTTGATCTTTGCTCTCCCTTCTTGCAGTTTAGGTATTTATCTGCTTCACTGTTAAGAGCTCTTAACCTTTTTCCCATTGATTAAGACAGGCCCTCTTGGAAACTCCATGAGCTGAAATATGAAGTGTTCCTCCATGAAACAACGCGAAGGATCTGGCAGTGCTTGACTCACTGGAAGTTTTATGTTGGTTTTAAGAGCCACTTAAGGGAAAGCTCCACAGAAGTGCTGTTAGAGCAGAAGAAAGCATAGTATTGAGTCCAGAGCAGTGGTAAATAGCGTGAATGTATTGTAGAAGTGATCCTATCAATTTTCTTTTGAAAATCTTCTCACAGAACATAAAACTTTTTAAGTTTGTGTTTCCTATGGAATCTGAAGGGTTTTAATTGACTAAAAATGCGTGGCTTAAATACAAATGAGCACATTAATCTATCTTCAAAAATAGCTACCTGTAGCATAGATACAGAAAGAAGTCAACGATTCACTTAAATGGTTTTCTTTATCAAACCACTGCAGGCAAGGTTGGGTTTGGTAGCACATCAGGTCAGTCTGTGTATTACTGTCATAAATAAATATTGCAGAAGATCTTCAGTTTTTGTCTTTGAAAGACTTCAGGCTTGATTCTACAATCTTCACTAAATATCCCTTGTGGTTACTGGGGTTTGCAAAGAGTTCTTTACTTATTGCCAATCTGTCTGACTTTAGTGATCCTTTTATCGTTTACTTTCTCCCTTCCTGAAAGGTTAGAGCTGCTGCATTTTCCGTGCAGCATCGTGGCTTGATTCATAACTTGCTGTTCTGAACATTTGCAATGTTAGAATTGATTTGAAAAGGTTTTTCTCCATGCTGTTCTTTGGTGTTATTTTCAACTCTTGTGTTTTACAATCCTTTGCTAATAAAATAAAAGATTTGTGGAAAGTTACTGGCATTCTCACAAGCAATACAGAGTAACCCCATGTTTGATGGAAGGGTTATTTATGATTACTTTCTTTCAACCTTCAACACTGCAACAAAATAGAGAGCCATTTTTCAGTAGTACAGTTTTGTGAGAACCTGTGTTCATCTGCTCATCTTCTGTACTTAAACATATCTCAAACGTAAAGATTGCATTTTAACTTCCA